AGGGAATGAAGATTTTCTACTGATAATTCAGCCTCCAACAAACGAGCTAGCGGTAGGGAGCCCCCCCCCCCCCCCCCCCCCCCCCTCTCTCTCTCTCTCTCTCTCTCTCTCTCTCTCTCACACACACACACACACACACACACACACACACACACATGTGCAGGCTGCTTGGTCTTTTGTCCCCCAGCCAAGTGATGATTCAGAACTTGAGCCCAGCTGGGCCGGGCATTCCCTGTCACTTGATTTCTGTCACTTGCAAGCCAGTCCTTGGGCAGGCATGTGCCCCTGCCCAACTGAGAAGCTCGAATGGGGTCCCACTCAGGTCGGGGTGGGCCCGCCACTTCTCCCCACTTCAGCTAACGGGATTTTGGGGTTCTCATCACCGGCAGGCGAGAGAGGTGGAAGGAGACTCCTGCTGACCACATCTTAGCCAGCTTTGAGGTCTCAGCCACGCCCTAACTCTCTCTAGTTTTGCACTCCTTGTGCAAGAGCCACCGGCCAAGCGCCTTCCGATGGGGGAGTGGGGGGGGGGGGGGGGGGGGGCCGTGCGGACACAGGCACATGGCTGACCAAGGTAAGGAGAGTAGGACCGGCCAGAGGCAGCCAAGACGGAGGAGCGCCTCACCGAGAGGCAGCAGCGAGTGGCACAGCAGTGTGGCCGCAGTGCGACGCAGGTGATAGGGCACGAAAGCGGCGTCCTCGCTGCCCAGCCATCCAGACAGTAGGTTCTGGACGGTGAGCCCGGCTGAGTGGAACTCGTTGGGCGTAAACACGAAGCACACGGAGAAAACCAGGTAAGCCAGCGTGAAGGTCACCTCCGGGCTGTCCATCCCGCCGCCGCCCGGCCAGGCTTGCGGCCCCAGCACCGAGAAGGCCGCAGCGTCCAGTCCTAGCTGGGCGGTCGTTGCAGCTGCCCGTAAGGCACTCTGGGAAATTGAGTCTCCCCAATCAGACCGCCCACGAGGCACCGTGGGAGATGGAGTCCCTCCATCGGGCCGGCGGCTTGTGGGGCACTCTGGGAGATAGAGTCCCGTCCCTAGGCTGCCCACGCGCGGGGTACTTCGGGAAATGGAGTCCCCACCCCGACAGGCCGAGCGCCCGCGGAGCACTGTGGGACATGGAATCCCCTTAGCAGGCCAGCCGACAGGCCAGAAGTCGTGAGCTGCCCGTATGGTCCCAGAGAGTACAACTCCTCCTCACAAGCAGCCCTGAAAAGGGCTTTGCACTGGACCCATTTTACAGCTGGAGAAACAGAACCGAGAAAGCGGCTCTCAGGCCCTGGCCAAGCCGCACAGCCCAGGTGCATCCGCGGCAGAGCCCTAGATACCCGGGACAAGTTGCTGCCCACCCCGGAGAAGCTCTCCACCTCCTCTGGAGACCCACTGTCTCCGCAGCCCGTGACGTCTCCAAGGCGACCCGTCCGCAGCTCCCAGCATGCCCTCGGCAGCGAAAATGGAACAGCCTGTGCGCCTGGTGGAGGGAGGGGGAGGCGGATGCGACACGGCCTCCTGTTGGCCGCCGGGGCCCGGGCGGCCCGCCCCCGGCCGGGCGCTGATTGGCGGAGCGAATCAACCGTCGCCCACTGTCTCCGCAGCCCGTGACGTCTCCAAGGCGACCCGTCCGCAGCTCCCAGCATGCCCTCGGCAGCGAAAATGGAACAGCCTGTGCGCCTGGTGGAGGGAGGGGGAGGCGGATGCGACACGGCCTCCTGTTGGCCGCCGGGGCCCGGGCGGCCCGCCCCCGGCCGGGCGCTGATTGGCGGAGCGAATCAACCGTCGGTATTTGAATCCGCTGGCGCGGTGGGCGGTGATCGCGGGTTGGAAGCGCTGCGGCGGCGAAGCGGAGCGACTCGGCTTCTTGAAGCGGAGCAGGCGCGGCTTCTCTCCTACCCCGTAGTGGGCGGCGGTGCGGGCCCGGATCCCGACAGCGGGCGGGCAGGTAGGCAGCGTCGCCCAGGTCTTGCACGCCGGGCTGTGGGGGGAGGGATCCCCGCTCCTGATGCTACCCGACCGCCGCCCTTCCCGCCCCGCCAGTCGTGGCTCCCCCCGGGGGGGGCCACCGCTGCCGGAGGAAGCGCCCCCTGCAGCACCTCCTGGAAGTTCCTCTGCCGGAGCCCAGTTTCTTGGGGCCCCTTCGGCTGGGCCCTTTTCTGATCCCGCCCCCCGTCTGGGCCTCAGAAAGAGCCGCGACCCGGGTGTCTGTGGGTTAGGTTGGGCGGTGGCCGTGGTTGTCCTGGGGCTGCCTGGCCGACTGTTCGTTTTCTCTTCTCAGCCCTCCCCCGCCCGCCACAGCTGACGGCTATGGCTTTGTTCACTCCCTCTTTGTCCGGGCAATTTTAGAGTGATGATCTCGTCCAGCCTCTCAGCTTTCTATGGCGAGTCCTCCCTTTATGTGGCATTCATCTCTGGAAGAAAAAAAAAAAAACCTCCTTTATCCCCACGTTTCTTTCCAGTAGTCTGTTTTCCACCTGCTTTTCAGCGGAACTCCAAGACTTGTTTGTGTTCACCTCCTCTACAGTTCTTCCCCTGAGCACACCCCAGTCCGGCTTTTGCCACCACTCAAGGGACCCTTTCTTCTTAGGTCTCTGACAGTCCTTACGTAAATCCTTTGTTGGTTTCGGTCCCCTTCCTGCTTGACGTTCCTCCTGGGACTCAATGACATCTTCCTCTCCAAAAACTTCCTTCACCTGCTTCTGGAAGCTATCATGGTCTCCACCTGACTGGCTCCCTCTCCAGCGTCATCCTTCTCCAGGGGTCAGCCTCTTAGCATGTCCCGTTGTACTACTATGCCACCGTCTAGCCCCAGTGCTTAACTTTTTTATTTTCCTTTGTTTATTCATAATAGAGTGTGTGTGTGTACACATGAGAACAAGTAATCACCACAGGGCTTAGTCATGCTATGATCCCTTTTCTCCAGCCCATCAGATCTTGGGCACTCACATGTGCCTAGTGTGTAAGTTGACTGGCCAGAGATTCAAACTGCAGTAGTCATGTGGGATTTGGCTTTTCTTTCTTTCTTTCTTTTTTTTTTTTTTTTTTTAAGTTGTTATTATCATTATTATTATTTTGGAGAAGTTTTTTGCTATAGGGCACGTGTGCTCACCAGAAAGACAGGGAAACAGAAAGTGAGAAATCACCCCCCCCAGGAGGATGGCCATGCCACAATCCTCTCTCCATTCTCCTCTCAGTATCTTGGACCCTCCATGCACACACGCCCAGTGTGAGTTTTAAGCCACCAGGTCCAGGACTCAAACCACAGGCAATTACATGGGAGTCCAGCAACGTAACATTACATCATTTGCTGGTCCTGGGATCTGACTTCTCTTGAGCAGCATATTACCACTGCACTGCAGAGCCAGTCCCCAATGCTTAAACACTTGTGTACTCAACTGCCTCTCTCCACAGGCAGCTTAAACAGGATTTCTAATCCCTAGTTCCCTTACAGTTTTTGCCTAGCTGCTACTATCCTCCCTAGTTAGGCAGTAGTCCCTTCACCTTCCTGCAGGGACTATCCTTTATGCTTCTTTCTCCACCACGTATTTTCACATGATCCTCAAAGTCCTTTTTTTTTTTTTTTGGAGAAGTTTTTTGCTATAGGGCACGTGTGCTCACCAGAAAGACAGGGAAACAGAAAGTGAGAAATCACCCCCCCCAGGAGGATGGCCATGCCACAATCCTCTCTCCATTCTCCTCTCAGTATCTTGGACCCTCCATGCACACACGCCCAGTGTGAGTTTTAAGCCACCAGGTCCAGGACTCAAACCACAGGCAATTACATGGGAGTCCAGCAACGTAACATTACATCATTTGCTGGTCCTGGGATCTGACTTCTCTTGAGCAGCATATTACCACTGCACTGCAGAGCCAGTCCCCAATGCTTAAACACTTGTGTACTCAACTGCCTCTCTCCACAGGCAGCTTAAACAGGATTTCTAATCCCTAGTTCCCTTACAGTTTTTGCCTAGCTGCTACTATCCTCCCTAGTTAGGCAGTAGTCCCTTCACCTTCCTGCAGGGACTATCCTTTATGCTTCTTTCTCCACCCCCCACCTGTGAGCCATCACCAACTCCAGCTGTACCACCTTCCTTGAAGGCCTAACTTCTCTCCCACGCTGCCGATTCTCAGGACTGGTGCAGCAACAGCATCTCTGTTCCTTCCCCACCCTTCCCCTATATGATCACAGAAGAGCAATGTAATGCAATCTTGGCTGGCCACCCCTCTACTTCAAAGCCTTCTCCTGTTGCCCCGTACCCCGTAGTCACTAGAAGCCCAACATAGCAAAAGCTGGGTTCATTGTACACCTACCTTTCTCCAACTGAGAGCTGCCAGAAAGGTTTCCTCTAGGTCATTGATTTGCTGAGTTCTAGGCTTGTGCTTCACACAGTCCAGCACTCCCTCTGCCAGTTGCCCAGGCCAAAAATCTAAGCATTTACTTTGACTTCTCTTTGTTTTTGTTTTGTTTTGTTTTGATTTCTACACATTCAGCATAGGCCCATTGGCGGAGCGGGGGTTCAGCTCTGCTGCCCTGGCTGTAGGAGCCTCTGGTATTGCCACTTCCTCTCCTGCCCTTCCCTGTCCAGCCACACAAGCACCAGAATGGGCTTCTCATACCAAGTGAACTCTAGCACTTCATAATGCCGACCTCCTGACCAGGCCTCCTCCTGCCTTACATTCACACCAAAGCCCCAGGGCTGCTACCACCTTTGGGACCTTATCCCTCCTGATATCCGGGTTTGTACTCTAGCCTGGTGGGAGGGAGACCAAACCAGAACTGCTGCCCTGCTTGTCTGCCCTCTGTTGACTCAACCACAGCTGGCCTCACGCATTGTGCCATGCATAGAGGCTAGGGAAGATCTGGGGTTCTGCTGGCTCTTCCAGTTTTCTTACAGGCCAGAATTTTCCTAACTTCTACTCAACAAAATTACATAGCAGTGGGAACTGTTATAAGGACTTAGTTTTTCTTTCTCATGGTCTCAGCCTAAAGGTCCTTGTAGATCTTGGTTTCAGCATGTAACAGCACAGCCCACAGCTCCCCTTGCCTGGTTGGAGAGCCAGAATCCCTGGGGGCAGGCCGGGGACTTACGCTAAGGTTCTCTGTCCTGTCTGGCACAGGACACCTACGCGAGGGGTGAGCTCCAAGGCGCTGACCATACCCGTACGGATAGGGGGCGTCCTCCCTGCAGCACTGCAGGGCAGTTCTGTCCCTGTCATATCTGTGTTTAGGTGACACAGTGTTGTTGCCCTTGTGCTGAAGTAAACACATTCTTTTCTAGAATGAGTCTGCAGGTTTTAAATGACGAAAATGTCACCAGTCAAAGAAGTAAAGAGAACTGCGACTTCCTGTTTTCACCACCAGAACTTACCGGAAGATCGTCTGTTCTTCGTTTGTCACAGAAAGAAAATGTGCCACCCAAGAACCTGAATAAAGCTGTGAAGGTAAGTGTGTGGCCCATCAGGCCACTCTGGGGCCTGCTTTCCTAGTGTCCTCTGAGCTGCCAGGCCCTGCCAATGTGCTGTAAAGACTTGAATTATTAAGTAGGTGCTCTCTTCTCGCTCCACCTCACCGCAGGTGACTTTTCAGACCCCTCTGCGGGATCCACAGACACATAGGATCTTAAGTCCTAGTATGACCTGCAAACTTGAGACTCCTTTTGCTCTGGGTGACAACATCGAATTAGAGAACTCTCATCAAGTCTGGACACAGGAAGAGAAGTAAGTGTCGATGCTGTTGAGCATATTTAACCTTGCCATCTCTAACAGACATTGCAGAAACATGGTATCTTACACAGTTTCATCTCAGCTGGATATTTCCTGATCTCTGCTCAGTTTATACGGCAGGAGGCCTTTTCATTAATGGGATGTTGATCATGATATTTGGAATAACTTTTAAATTTATGCTTCACTCTTGCTGTGCCAGCCAGTTTGCCTCGATCTTTGTTTCTCTACTTTGTTGAAATATCCTGACTCCAGCTCAGGGAAGGACAATCTGCAGTTTCATTTCTCTCTGGTGTTCTGCTTCTCTCCCTTCTGCTTAAAAGCCATCACTGGCGTTCTCTACATTAGTACCAGAGAGGGCAGGGAGAGACTTGTGGGCAGAGAGACCGTGTTGTATGATCTGCTGGTCAGATATGTGGTAGGAGGGGTCGGCTAGGTGTTCGGCAGGCTGTGTGGTCGGCTCACTGACCTGACGACAAGTAGATGCTGAGGCTCTTCCTGTCTTTACCTGGAAAGGAGGGCCTTGGAGACAGCTCTTCTCCATGGCTGAACTAATCTGTCTGGGTTCCAAGGGACACATCCAGAGTGGGAAGGGGCTTCTTCACCTTTTGGCCTTTTAGCCAAGGTCAAGTTCGGTATCAGACAGCATGGTGCTAGTTTTTGCTGATGGAGCTACTGAAAGCTTTTTTGGGGAAGAGGTTTTTGCTATAGGGCGCATGCACTCACCAGAAAGACAGAGAGAAAGAGACAGAAAGTGAGAAATCACCCCCCAGGGGGGATGGCCATGCCACAGTTCCTTCTCCATTCTCCTCTCGGGATCTTCGGCACGCATGCACACACACCTGGCATGAATTTAAGCCACCAGGTCCGGGACGTGAACCTCAGTTGACTCCATGGGAGCCCAGTGACATAGCAATTACACTCTTGAAAGCTTTTTCTTCTAAACAGTTTCAAGATGTATGGAGAAAATGATAAGGTTTAAAATATTTACATGCTGTTCACATAGCTTAAATAGAATGTCACTAGTGAATACATGTGACATTTCTTAGGTCCTTCAGGCCACATACCTACCTCTCTTCTAACCCGAATTTACTGTTCTTGTGTCTTCTTGCTACTTTTCAAATTAACTTTTATACTTTTCTTTTTGAAGTTCAGCTAAATGAAAATAAAGTGAATATCATTTTTTCTTGACAACCAAAATAAAGGAGATTACCTTCCAGCTGCCATGAATCTGACCTGCCTTGGAGGCCAGGGAAGTTCTTGCCTCTGCCCTGTACTTTCAGGGCTGCAGCCAGTCAAGGCAGGGAGGGCCTGACAGGTCCCAGCCTTGGCTGTCTCACTGTGCGCTTGTCCTTGGTGGCTCTGGCATGGTGTCTCTGCCTGTGCAGTTCATCTTCCCAGTACTCTCACAGGTGTGTGTTGGAGACGCCATGACACCCAGGTGGTAATGTTTCTCACGGAGCTTGTTGTGGCTCAGTGGGGATGAAACCAGAGAGTGGCCGGCCAGGTGCTGACTGTGGTGGTACGTTGTCCTCACGTATGACTGAGGTGTCAGCTGGTGGAAGTGGAGTGGCTGTGAGCAATATGGTTGGGTGGAGAAACTTGGAGAAAATTTGCAAGAGTAGTCAGTGAACCAGGGGGTCCCCTTCAGCTGAGTCACTGAAATGACTGGAATGTCCTTCTGAGTGATCTGTAGGTTGGATCATGCTTGCCCCGAATGTGGCAGCTTGTGTCCTCCATTATGGTTCCAATCCTAACTCCTACCCTCCAGTTGTCTTAACAAGCCTTCCTGTCTGTCAGGAGTTCTATGGCTTCCACCACTCCTGCACTCTGTCCAGCGCTATTGGACAGTGGTCTCTCAGGGAGGTGCTCTCTGCTCGGGGTGCTTCTGTCAGTGGGCATTAGGCCACTGGCCAGTAGGGTCAGCTCTAAAAGCAGCGTTCTTGACCTCAGCCTCCCCTCGTTTCAGTGGAAAGCTTGACCCTTGTGTGCTCTGATAACCCATGACCACATAGCCACTGGTTTCCTGCACCTTGCTGGCTGGTTTTCCAGAGAGTTCTCTGTTCTGCCTCTCTCAGAACCTGTGTGGTCCCAAAGTAGCTGCCAGCACTAATCTGGGGGCATGTACTCAAGTGGGACCTAAGCCAGGTGACATAGTTGACTGATATTCTTGCTTCCTGCCTTTCACATGGACTTAGGTATAATTGAAAAGCTAACAAGTTCCTTGGTGTTAACTAAATCTGTTTCTGAAAAGCCAACAGTTTACCAAGGAAGTGGACAACAAAATTACCAATGGGATTCTTCAGAAAGAAGCCATGGCTGATGCCAACTCTCCTCCAGCGAATGTGACCCCAGCCTCTGAAGATGGCAGTTCCAGCAAGCTTGGCGCAGCCCCCCTGGCTGACCCAGGCTCCTTAAGCTCTCCAAGCCACAGCCCAGAAAGTCCTAAAAAACAAGCAGTACCTCTAGGACAAATGCCTGGCAGCCCTCAGCAAGCAGCGGAGGAAGACGGTAGTCTTCATTCTTTCGATAAAAGCATAACTTCCGTCTCTCAGACCCTAGAAGACCCCCCAGGGATAGCGTCCCAGCAGAGAGCAGAGACTCCTCATAGAGCTGAGGAAGGAAATTCACAAGGCAGCGTCTCTGCTGCTTCCCTGGGGGCCGTTCTACCTCCTGATCCGACCCTTGAAGCACCACACAGAGGAGGTCCCCTCACAGGGAACTGTGACGAGGACGCCCCTGGACCAGGAGACAGTGCTCAGTCCCTTCCCTGCACAAGATCCTCTGGTTCTGAGGACACAGCCCCGTCCAGCCCTCAGAAGGAAGACGCCTCTGTACAGATGGCTGACTTGGCAAGGGGTGAGCCTGTAAGGCTAGAATTTGACTTCTCTGACACCACCACCAAAAAGGCTCCCCGACCAAAAAGACTGGGCCTCAAACATCCCTCTAAGAGGCAGGAGGTAAGACAGGAACAGGCCCCCAAGGCGGCGCAGGAGGGAGATAAGAAGAGAGGGGAAGACGAGTGCCCTGCGCCTGTTCCACGGGGCTCCTACAACCTCGACTGGAACAAGTTGGATGACCCAGACTTTAACCCTTTTGGAACTGGCTCCACCTCCAGTAGCAGCAAAGCTCAGCCCCCAGACAGCTCTGAGGTGGCTCTGCAGTCAAGTGCTGGGCCAGTAACCCTGGAGAACCTGCCTCTAAGCCAGTAAGTGTGGGTTTCTGCGTCTAGGTGACCACTCCATGGTGTGTGGGCCAAGGGCCTAAGTCTGCACTCATTTGTAGCCAGGCCGACTCCACCTGAGAAGGGGCCTCCAGCAGAAACAAAGCTTAAACAGGTACAAGAAGCCCAGCTCCCAGGTGCCCGGCACAGAGCTGACTTACGTAATAGTGCGCCTGCGTTTGAGGGGAAAGTCAAATGCCCGCGGGCCGCCACTCGGCTGAAAACAGAATGTGGCCAGCACTGTAGCAAGGCAGTGTCCCCAGTTAGAGCCCATCGCGAGCTGCTGTGATCTGATCGAATGCTGTGGCCCCAACAGCCAAAACTAAAACATAGCTGTTACCACTTAGAGTGGTGTCTTCACGTAGCTCTCATGTATGAGGTCGTCGGGAAAGTCGTGACATGTTTTTCTATATGATGGGTCATGGCTTTCCTGGAAACCCAGTACCTTCTCAGGCTACTGCTCTTTGAGGTTAGTTTGTTTTTTGAGGTTAAAGTTTTAAGCCATGAGAGATTTTGCCAGTGTCCTGCAGGCCAGTGCTCTGACTCGGAGTTCTTTTGTTAGGTTGTTGAAAAAGTCATGACATGTTTGCATAGAAAAATATTTCATGACTTTTCTGACCACCCAGTAGTACAACCTCCCCGAAGCTGGCATTTGCTGAGGGTTTGCTGCCTCTGGCTGTTCTTCGGTTGTGTTCCCAGGGGTGGGGTTGCTCAGCCAGGAGAACCATTACCTCCAGTGTGTGACTGTCCCTTCCCAGTCTCCTACCCACATGGGGCCTTTTACTAATTTCGCCATAAAAAAGATCAATGAATCATTGCAGTTTTTTTCCATTAAGTTGTGAGGATTTCAGAGCTTCTTGCCTGCTTCTCCCTAACCTCACTGTCCAGGCTCACTTTTCGTTCTGAGTAAGGTTGGTGAGGGTAGCTTTGCAGCCATCACTTGGGCTGGCCCCATGTGCCTCGTGTATTCTTTAGTTAAAGGTTCACAGGACCAGCACAACCGTGCAGATGGGAGCCAGGTAGCGGCTTGGTGCCATACTGGAGACATGGCAGTGGGAGTACCACACAGGCTTCTGTTAACTCTCTCTCTCCAGGCAGCTGTGTGCAGCCTCAGCGGATGATACGTCTGTGGTACATATGGTAGCAGAGACCCCAAGAACTGAAGGCAAGGTAAGAGGATATGCATGTGCCTCCACACTTTAGTCACCATTTGCGTATCATGTAGAAACGTAACAGGCCAGAGGGTCTTCCAGTGACAGGCTGGGATAAACCACTGCCCTTCTACCCTTCATCTCATCCCAGGCTTATTTTGACTGAGGGTGGGGCTTTGTCCTCAAGGACACAAGATGACTCTGACCTTCCCTCTAGGAGGGAACTTTGAATTTTTCAGACATGTCAGTTTCTGTGAGCTGTCAGGACAGTGAGCTGAAGGCCCCACACGCTGAACCGGTGGCCTTCCCTTCTCAGCAGGGACTGGAGCCTGTCTTGGAGCTAAAGGAGGAGAAGTTCAGAGACCCAGCTGAGGGTATGTTGCCTTGGACTGTCACTCCCAGTATACCTGAAATGTCCGGTGGGCATATTTGCTCAGTCGCTTGCTTTCCCTCTGTCATTTGCAGGTGATCATTCTATAGGCTGTTCTATTCCCTGACTTCAGATTATTCCACATAAACTTCTGGTTTATGAAGAGATGAGCATTTTTGATTAAACAGGACTGGGATGCCTTTATTTTTATTTATTTATTTATTTATTTTTGAGAGGTTCTTGCTATAAGGTGTGTGCATTTGCCAGACAGAGAGAGAGAGACAGAAAGGGAGAGATCATCACCCCCCTACAGGGGGTGATGGCCACGCCGCAATCCCTTCTCCTCCTCCATCCTCCTCTTGGGATCTTGGGTGCACATGCACCCATTGTGGGGTTTAAGCTGTCGGGTCTGAGACTCGAACCGTGGTCGACTACGTGGGAGTCCAGTGACATGACCATTAAGCCAACTGCTGGTCCCAAGGGGTGCCTTTAATTTAAAGGACTTCCTGAAATGAAAATTGTAGATTCATTTATAAAACGAGGTAAAAGATGTGAACAAAGTAGTCCACAGTCAAGATAGAAATACAAGGCTGGCCCCGTAGCCTCGTGGTTAAGAGAGTCAGATGCCAGATCAACTGCAGTTTGAATCCCAGCTCTGCAGCTTGAAAAACACCCAAAATCCTAACAGGATGGAGAAGAGGAGATTGCAGCATGATTACACCCCATTGGGGTGTGTGCGCTTGTGCTCGCTTGCGCGCTCGCGCTCTCTCTCTCTCTCTCTCTCTCTCTCTCTCTGTGTTTGTCTGTCTGTGTCTGTCTGCCTGTCTTTCTCTGGCTAGCTCATATGGTAATCAGAAAAACACTGTTTGAAACAAAAACCCATAATGAAATATGTTTAAATCTTCAACACTAGGCTATGGATAAATGTGGTATATCCCTAAGATGGGAAAGGATAACTAGTTTCTTTACTATTATTATTATTATTATTATTATTATTATTATTATTTTAATTTTAACCAGAAAGAGAGGAAAGATGAAGCAAGCCACCAGGTCTGGGACTCAAACTATGACTGGCTATGTGGGAGTCCAGCACTCCAACCACCACACTACCTGCTAGCCTTGAGAGAGGATAAATAGTTATTAAAGTGCATTCAGTGAGAAATTGTAACTGAACTGATTTAAAGGTTGGTAAGGTGTAAATCTGGTCACTTAAGAACCCAGTTATTGTAGCCAGGTGGTGGTTCAGTGGTTATTACAACTGGACCCAGACGGGAAAGGTCTTAGGTTTGTGTCGTGGGACCTCCCTGGGCATGCCAACTAAGACTGATGGATGATGGCAGAGGCCTTGTTGGGGTGCCTACATCTCTAAATAAAAATAGATGAACAATGGGACCAGCAAGTGGTGTGGTGGTTAAGGCACTGGACACTCCCACATGGCCAACCACGGTTCAAATCCCAGACCTGGAGACTTGCTTTCTCACTTTCCCTCTCTCCCTCTCTGTGTCTCTCTCTGGTCAGGTTAAAATAAACAAATGAATAAATAAAATTAATTCTTTTAAAAAATACACAATAACAACAATTTTTAATAATAGGAACCAATGGCAACCAGCAGTTAGCGTGATGGCTATGTAGCTGGACTCCCACGTAGTCGACCGCGGTTCACGTCCTGGACCTGGTGGCTTAAAACTTATGCCAGGCACATGTGCGTACATGCCCAAGATCCCGAGAGAAGAATGGAGGAGAAGGGATTGAGGCATGGCCATCCCCCGCCCCCGGGGGTGATTTCTCGCTTTCTGTCTCTGTTTCTCTATGTCTGTCAAGTGCACGCACCCTATAGCAAAAACCTCTCCAAAAAAAAAAAAAGAATAGGAACCCAGTTATCAAAAAGACTAGACATATGTAAAGTGTAGAGTATCTGACAAGATAATCATGGGTTCTCACCCATGGGAAGGGCAAGCTAAGCTTTGTGGGTCTCTGGGGCTTGCCATGGGACCTCTGGAATCACACACAACCTAGACTTTTGGTCTGACATCTGAACACATTCTCAAGACTCACCCATGTGTAGTGGGTGGTCATATTTCATTCCTTGCTGTGACTGAATAGTTGTCACATTTTGTTTATTCACCCACTGATGGCTGCTTGGATTATTTCCACTCTTCATCTGTTATAAATCTGACCGCTAGGAGCATTCACATATAAGTTTTTGTGTGGACACAGGTTTCTTTTTTTTTTTGTTTTTTTTTTTTGGTATATGCCTAGAAGTAGAATTGCTGATAACCCTGCTTAACTTTTTGAGAACCTGCCAGACTGTTTTCTGAAGTGGATGTGTTATTTTACATTCCTACCAGCATTGTAGGAAGGTTTAGATTTCTACACATTCTTGCCAGTTACTATCTGTCTTGTCAATTCTAGCCATCCTAGGGTATGAAGTGATATCTAGTCCTGGGGTTTCTTTTCTTTAAAGAAGTATTTTTTAATTTTATTCATCATTGCCATCGTGTTTTAATTTTGCTATAGGGCACATGCATTCATCAGAGACGGAGAGAAAGCAAGCCTCCAGGTCTGGGATTCAGTCTGCAGTCAGCGACGTGGGAGCCCAGAGCCTTTAACTGCCACATCACCTGTGGCTCCTCTAGTTCTGGTCTTGATTTTACATTTTGCTGATGGCTAATGAGCATCTTTTGAGCATTTTTTCATGTGTTTGTTGCCCACGTGTATATCTTTGAAGAAATATCTATCAAGATCTTTACTCACAGGCCAGCAGGTGGTGTGGTGGTGAAGATGCTGGATCTCACATGGTCCACTGTACGGTTTGATCCCCAGACCCAGCAGACTGGAAAAAAACCAGGCCATGTGTGTGTGCATGCCCAAAATCTCAACAGGAGGATGGAGGAGAGGGGTCTGCAGTATGGCCAACCCCCTTAGGGGGTGATTTCTCATGTTCTTTCTCTCTCACGTGCACTCTCTCATTTCTTCTTTCTCATTTGCTCTCTCTTTTTCTCTCACTCATATTCTCTCTCTCTCCTCCTAGGGGAGTGCATGTACTCCATGGAAAACAAAACAAAACCTAAAAGTAAAAAAGATCTTTACTCACTCCCCCGCCCTTAATTTGCCATGGGACACGAATACTTGCCAGAGAAAGGCAGAGGAGGAGAGAGAGAGAAGGAAAGTAAGAAAGCATGCCCTGGGGCCAGCAGGTGGCATAATGGCTATATCGCTGGACTACCGTGTAGTCAAACCCAGTTCGAGTACTGGATCCGGTGGCTTAAACTCATGCGATGTAACCATTATGCCATCTGCTGGCTCCCCCCTTAGTTGTTGTTGTTGTTGTTGTTTGGTTTTTGGTTTTTTTTCGGAGAGGTTTTTGCTATAGGGTGCATGCACTCGCCAGACAGACAGAGACAGAGAGACAGAAGGCGAGAAGTCACCCCCCAGGGGGGATGGCCACACCGCAATCCCTTCTCCATTCTCCTCTCGGGATCTTGGGCACGCATGCGCACGCGCCCAGCGTGAGTTTAAGCCACCAGGTCCAGGACTCGAACCGCGGTTGACTACATGGGAGTCCAGCAACATAGCCATTACGCTAACTGCTGGCCCCTGTTTTTTTTTCTTTTTTAACCAAAGATTATGTTATCAAGAATCGGGCAGGACCAGCCTGTAGCATGTTGATTGAGGCAGCTGGATCCCATATGATCAACTGTACAGTTCAATTCCTGGACCTAACAGCTTGAAAAGCACAGTAGATATGTGTGTGTGTGTGCCCAAAATCCTGAAGAGAATGATGGAAAAGGGACTGTGGCCTGGCCATACTCCGTAGGGAGTGCTTTCTCATTTTTCTCTCTCTCTCTCTGGTGAACACATACGCCTTATAGCAAAATTTCTTCTTAAGAAGGCTAGCAGGGGGACCAGCAGTTGGTGAAATGGCTACGATGCTGGACTCCCATGTAGTCAGCCTTGGTTCGTGTCACGGACCCAGTGGCTTAGAACTCATGCCGGGCGCGTGTGCATGCATGCCCAAGATCCTGAGAGGAGGATGGAGGAGAAGGGATTGTTGCGTGGCCATCCCTCCTAGGGATGACTTCTCGCTCTCCATCTCTCTGTCTTTCTCTGTCTGGCAAGCGCATGCGCCCTATAGCAAAAACCTCTCAAAAAAAAAAAAAAAGGAAAATTAGCAGGTAGTGCAGAGGTTAAGGCAACTGGATCCCACGTGGCCGACTGTGCAGTTCAAGTCTTGGTCCTGGCAGCTTGAAAATCACACCAGGAATGTATATGTATGCCAAAATCCCAAAAGGAAAATGGAGGAGGAGGAACTGAAACATGGCCATCCTCCCTGGGAGGGTGTCTTCTCACTTTCTCCCTCCCAGCCAAGAGTGCACATGCCCTATATAGCAAACTAAAAAAGAAATTGGGCCAGCCTTGTATTCTAGTGATTAAGGAAGCCTGGCCCCACGTTCAAGTTTTTTTGTTGTTATTAAAGATGGTCCCTAGCCAGCAGATGGAATAATGTTATGTCACTGGACTCCGGCATAGTTGACCACATTTCAAGTCCGAGACCCCCGCGTCTTAAAACTCATGCTGGGCACATGTGCATACGTGTCCAGAATCCCAGGAAGAGAAAGGATTGCAGCATGGCCATCCCCCCAGGGAGTGATTTCTTGCTTTCTGTCTGTCTCTCTGGTAAGCCCACATGCCATATAGTAAAAATCTCTTTTTTTTTTTTTTTTTTAAAGAATGATGGTCCTGGGACCAGCAGGTGGCATAATGGCTATGTTGCTGGACTCCCATGTAGTCTACCATAGTTCGAGTCCTGGGCCTGGTGGCTTAAACGCACTCCTAGTGTGTGCATGCATGCCCAAGATCCCAAGAGGAGAATGGAGGAGAAGGGATTGTGGCATGGCCACCCTCCCTGAAGGGCGATTTCTTGCTTTCTGTCTCTCTCTGTCTTTCTGGTGAGTGCACATGCCCTGTAGCAAAAATCTCTCCCAAAAAAAAAAAAAGAAAGAAAGATGTTCCCTAGAAAGTTTTTGGCTTCATTTTTTTCATTTTCCAGAGGACACATGTGCTTAGCAGAGAGTGAGGCGGGTGGGGGAAAGCACCCCACCAGTGAAGTGTGGTCACACCGCAGTCTTTTCTTCTCCATTTATCTATCCTATTGGGATTTGGGGCACGCACACACACATGCTTGTCGTGTTTTTTAAGTTGCGGAGGACAGAATTCAAACTGTGCCGTTGGCCATGTGGGACCCAGCTCTCTTAACCACTAGACTCTGGAAACAACTCTTTTCTTTCTTTCTCTTGCCAAAGGGCGTATGCACTCACTTTTCCTCTCTGTCTTTTCCATCCCATCAGTATATGAGGCACACACCCCTAGTTGGTTGGTTGGTTTCTCATGCCATCAGAGCTGGTATTTGAACCTCCTTCAGCCAGGAGGGATCTGGCTCCCCACATACGGGGCTGGACCATCAGAGGATTTTTCTAGGGTAATTTTGAACAGTAATTCTCAACCAGGGCAATTTTGCCCCTCAGGGGACATTCGTAATTGTTACAGCTGGGGACAGGGGACCATATTTCTGGCATCTCCTGGTGGGAACCAGGATGCTTTCCAACATCTTACAGTACATAGGACACCCCACGATAGAATCATTAGCCCCAGATTTCAGTCAGCAGTACCGAGTGAGAGATCTCGCTGTGAAGCAAAGACCTCAGAGTTTGGGGTGGGTGGTAGAAGGGAAGGGTCACTCCCAGTGTACACAGCTCAGGAGGTCTGGAGATGAAGTGGCTGGCCCGGCAGTGGGAACACCTGCTGCATGCATTTCACCAAAGAACAATGGTTCCGCCTTGTAGGTCACTTGAGGGATGCTAGCGTGTGGCTGTCAGGCCTGGGTTGTGGCAGACGGCGATAGTGGTACTGACTCCCTCCCTCTCAGTTCTAGGCATTGGGGCTGAGGTGGATTACCTGGAGCAGTTCGGAACGTGCTCGGTAGGTACCTGCCACTTGAACGGCAGCCTTACTTGAAGTGTGTATCCCTAGAACAGCCCCACGCCACTATGTGCAACGTGGTGGTTCTTCAGCCTGGAATGTTGTGACTGGTCATGTCTCTGCATCTCTGTAGAGATCCTTTTCCCACAATTTCTTCTCTGTGGCATCCTGTAGTCTTGGGAGACTCCTAACCCAAATGCTGACCCTGAGATGAACTTGGAAATGCTATACTATGGGAATGGTGCCGCAGGTACTATTATAGGTGACCAGAGACGGGTGCAGTGTGATCTCCCCAGGGCACTTTGCCCAGTGAGCTGACCACCCTGTGGCTCTCAGGGCTGTCATCTCTTAGGAGCCAACAGTAATACTGATTTGTCTTGCCCTCCCTCAGTTCAAGGACTCAGCCTTGAGGAAGCAGTCCTTATACCTCAAATTCGATCCTCTCCTGAAAGATAGCCCTCACCGACCAGTGCCCATAGTCTCCGGGACAAGCAAGTGAGCACACTCTGTGAAGTTGTGGGGTTTTTTATTGGGGGGGGGGGCAGGGGCAGAGGGGCATGCACACACAAGTGTCCAACATGAGTTTTAAGCTGCCAGTTCCGGGACTTAAACTGCAGTTGATTGTGTGGGAGTCCAGTGACATAACCATTATGCCATCTGCTGGTCCCCTGTGAGATTTTAAAAGTGGACCAGGGAGCTGGGTGGCTAGACTGAGGTTATGATCGGAACAACTCGTGGTACTGAGTGGACAGGACAGAGCAAGCCCAGGGCCAGCCTCAAGCGGCAGCTATGGTTGGTCCTTATTGTGCTTAAGACCAGCCATCATCCTTTATGTCCTACTGACCGAGTGGGACACGAGATGACCCACAGGATGACACAGCTGTCTCTGTTTGGTCTCAGTGCACAAGATGCAGAACAGCCTTCCTCAGGAAATGTGCTAGAAACCAAGCTTGTGGATTTTGATTTCTTAGGAGCTCTGGATGTTCCTGTAAGTATTTCAGTTCCTTTGGACACTGTCTGTGGTCTAAAGGCATGTGTGTTGTAAGGGCCTTTGTTTTATGTTCCTGGGGATCCGACGCCTCTGGGTCAGTTGGTGGGGACGTGGGGCTGCCAACTACTCCTTGGTAAGTGAGAGGTCTGTTATGGCTCCCTCACCCACTGTCTCTGCAGCAGAGGAGCTGGGCATGGTGTTGACCTGGCTTCTGATCAGGCTGGTTGGGTCTTTGCTCCCTGAGGACAGGCCAGAGGTAGGAAGAGATGAGTCTGACATGAGGCTCATGGCTCTTCTCACTTTTTGTTATTCATGCAGGTAACAGGCCCACCCACATGTGTCCTTGAGCCTGGGGTTCCACCCTTGCCTGTTGGACCCATTGTGGACGTGCTGCAGTACAGCCAGCGGGACCTGGACACGGCGGTAAGTCACAGAGGGCAGTTCCTCTGTTGTGAGATCACAGATGTCTCTTGAATGCTGGGCTTGGCACTTGGCTTTTTTTTTTTTTTTTTTAAGAGAGATTTTTGCTATAGGGCACATGTGTTCACCAGAGACAGAGCCATTAAGCAATAGATCACCCCCTGCAGGGGCGGATGATCATACCGCAGTCCCTTCTCCATTCTCTTGGGATCTTGGAGACACACACATGCACCTGGAGTGAGTTTTACGCTGCTGGATCTGGGACTTGAATCATGGTTGACTACGTGAGAGTCCAGCCACTCAACCATTATGCCATCTGCCAGTCCTGACACTTGGCATTCGGTCAACCAGTCTTTCTTGACGCTCGGTGGAAACGGAGAGCTGCGGGGAGATGCTGGTGTCAATTGCTGAGACCTCAGTCCCTCAGCATGCTGCCCAAGGAGCCGAGAGTGCTGGGGCTTTGTCTAGCATCTGAGTAGGCAGCTGCCCACAAACAGCCTCTCTCTGAGCAGAGCTATCAGATAGCCTGAACTCAGCACTGGGCTCACAGAATTAGCTGCAGCCAGGGGGAGGCGACAGCGAGAGTTAGGGTGTCTGTCTCCAGGGGTGACTTTGCTGAGGCAGACCAGCACAAATACCTCGTGGCTTAGAGGATAATGCTTCTACGAGCCTGGGTGGTGTTCGTTTCCTGCCACTTCCTCCCACCAGCCCTCCACCAACCCAGACATATCTCTGGATGGGCTAGAAAGCTCTCTTTACCTTTCTCAGGTTCAAGGGTCCCTGCCCCGTGTTTCCCCAGCCCTGTCTCAGTCATCACGCTCCTCGTGGACACACGGAGGCTTCAGCCTTCTTTTTCCCTTTTCATTTGCTAGAGGCCGTGCATGCTTGCCAGAAAGAGAAAGTGAGAAAACATCACCCATGTGGGATGGTCACTCCATAGTCCCTTTCCTGTTTCTCCTTTTGGGATTTTGGGCATGCATGCACACATGCCTGGTGTGTTTTTCAAGCCACCGGGTCCAGAACTCAAACTGCGCAGTTCGTCATGAGGGATCTAGCTGCCTTAATCTCCATGCCATTGGCTGGCCCCAGCCTTTTTTTTTTTTTTTTTTTTAATCTTTATTACTGTTGTTATTCAGTTTGCTCTAGGGCACATGCACTAACCAGAAAGAAAGAGAGAGGGAAAGTGAGAAAGCAAGCTACGAGGTCCAGGACCCCAGCCGTGGTTGGCCATGCGCCTTCACCACCACGCCACTTGCCAGTCCCTCCCCAGCCTATCTTGTCTAGTCAGTCACCTCTCAGAGAACCCATGTACATGCTAAGGGCCCAGGGCATCTGCGGGCACCACTCCGAGCTGCCGTCCGCCGGGGGAGTGGGACAGATGGCCCAGGAGATGAGTTTGCAGAGCTGTGCTCAAGGCCCCAGGTTCACTCTAGCATTGCTCATAGCGACCCCCAGGCTAGTGTTTTCGTGGAGGCATGCACTGACCCAGCTACACCCAGGCTGCCTGTGGGTGTGGACTCCCCCCCATTCCCTGTCCTGTCTCAACCCATCTGAGTAACCCCAGAGCAGGCCCAGAAGCTCACAACATCAAATCCAACTTGAGCTTTGCCCTGCCATTTGGCCCCCTCCTCTCCCCTCTGCAATGTCCTAGGGACAGGAGCCTTCACACTCAACACGAGGGCCTAACAGATGGACATGCTGGGGGTACATGCACTTACCAGGCACCTACTGGCTCCACCTCAGCAGGTCACCTGCAGAGCAAAGCCCGTGGCCTTACACTGACTGGCCTCATACCCTAACTCAGAGCAGGAAGTCTTGGCCTGACTGGGGTTCCTGGGATGCTGTGTCAGAGACCTTAGGTGTGGGGAAGGTTACCGAAGATGAGCCCCCCAACCCAGCTGTGTGACTTGCATAGGTGGAAGCAGCACAGAAGGAGAACCAGGAGCTGAGAAGCAGGTGTGAGGAGCTCCACGGGAAGAACCTGGAGATGGGGTAGGTCTGCGGGATGCTGGCTTTCACCCTGGTCTGCCTGCCATGGGCTGTCCCAAACGCACATTTGCTCTCTTTCTGCAGGAAGATTGTGGATGGGTTTGAGGAGATCGTGTACCAGGCAATGGGTGAGTGCCAGGTGTCCAAGGAGTACACATCAGCCTCGGCGCCAACTAATCCCTACCCTGTGGGGCCCCTGCCTCTGCGGGCAGCTGTGTCCAGGACACTTTTCCTAACAGCACCCTGTTGGCATCCCCTTGCTATGACCCCCGTCAGTGTGGAGCCACTGAGATAAACTGAAGAGAAGTCGGCAGTGAGATGGTGATGTCTGCGCCAGTGCTTGACAGGCTTCAGAATTGCTCAACGCCGAGCAGGCAGCTGGGGCTGTGGTCGGGAACAGATGCTATTCCTCTAGCACTTTTTTTTTTTGGCCAGAGAAACAGAGGCAGAGGGAGAAAGCATCTCCAATGAGGCGTGGTCACACTGTAATCCCTGCACCACTTCTCTATCCTGTCAGGATTTGGGGCATGAACAAACACGCCTGGTGTGTGTTTCAAACCACCAGGTCTGGGATTCAAACCACGTGGTCAGCCATGTGGGATCTGAGTGAGATGGTGATGTCTGCGCCAGTGCTTGACAGGCTTCAGAATTGCTCAACGCCGAGCAGGCAGCTGGGGCTGTGGTCGGGAACAGATGCTATTCCTCTAGCACTTTTTTTTTTTGGCCAGAGAAACAGAGGCAGAGGGAGAAAGCATCTCCAATGAGGCGTGGTCACACTGTAATCCCTGCACCACTTCTCTATCCTGTCAGGATTTGGGGCATGAACAAACACGCCTGGTGTGTGTTTCAAACCACCAGGTCTGGGATTCAAACCACGTGGTCAGCCATGTGGGATCTGACTCCCTTAACCACTAGGCCACAGGGCCGGCCCCCTGAGGCATTATTGTCTGGAGTCTGGCCCATCCTTACCTGCCCTCACCAGGTAGCTGTCCAGTAGTGGCTTCTGAGGATGTTGGGTGGGACCAGGACACCAGGCCTCACCTGAGGCTAGAACTTAGACTCCCAGAGGAGTCCCTGTGGGAACCTGTCTTAGGCCAAGCATCAGCCAGTGGCAGGTGACTTCCTAGGCCCTTACCTGTTTGTAAGAGGGCTACACAGCACTACCTCAGCTTCATGAGTGGCCCCTGAGCTCAGAGCACTGGCCCCACCTGTGAGATCTCTTCAGGGGCCTCTGCTGGGTCCTGGGCTTCAGGCATAAGGTCTACTCTACTGTCTCCAGCTCCCTAAGGAGCCCCAGAAGGTCATGGTGGAAAGGGGGCTCATCTAATCTCGCCAGGACATCTGCCCACGCCTGCCTACGGCGTACGCCCTGGCTGCTCACCTGCCACCCCAGGGCTCTTACATCTCTCCTTGGCCATTTCTGGCACCCAGTATATAAGTCACCCTCTAATCCCTAGTGTTTGCTTTTCTCAAGAGGAAGCTCAGAAACAGAAAGAACTCACTGAAGCCAAAATCCAGAAGGTTTTAAAAGAAAAGGACCAACTTGCCGCTGACTTGAACTCCATGGAAAAGTCTTTCTCTGACCTCTTCAAGCGGTTTGAGAAACAGAAGGAAGTGATTGAGGGCTACCGCAAGGTACGTGCGTGCCAGCCCTGGCAGCTTGCAGTCCAAGCCCACCAGGCCACAAAGCACCCTTTACGCCATGGTCCTTTGAGCCTTCCGTCACCCTGGGCAGGGATGCAGTGACACGGCGCTGCCCAGTCTGCACCATACTGGTGTTGTGGGACCTTCGAGGAGTGAAGTGGGCATGAACAGGACAGATGAGAACAGCAAGCATCAGGTGGCAAGGAGTGGCCAGGAGGGCAGTAGGAGACATAGCTGTGCTCAGTCACCTGGGAGAACTTAGAACTTGCCTGTTAGAGGGCGTCCTGGGCTGCCGCGGTCTGAACCACCCACCACTGGATCGGGAGTGGTGCCTGGTGTGAAGAACAGCAGCTGTGGTGAGAGAATTGTGAGACACAAGGTGACACTGGTGTGCGAAGACTGACAGGGTTCTCAGGAAGGAAGGAAGAGCCCGTGTTGGCCCCAAGGAGGGCTGCTGGTGCATGGCATCCATGTGTGGGTGCCCACAGGAAATTGGTCTCACCTGGGCAGAGCTGCCTACATGTCCACCTAACCACAGGCTGCTGGGTCCCCTCCTCCTGTAGCGCACTCCTGTGCCTCTGCTGGAAGAGGCTGGTGCGGTGCTCCCTGGAAGAAGCAATGTCTAAAGATGGCCCGTTCTCCCAGAGCAGGCCTGGAAGGCCAGCGGGTTCTTCCTGACACTGTTGGTATGGATGTAGCAGGGGCTGGCATAGAGGCCAGGGCTTGACATTGCAGGAGGAAGGGGGACAATTGCCAACTGTAGAGGGTGCAGCTGGAAGGGGGAGCGTATTCTTGCCCTGAGGGGTGGGGGAGCCTCAGGTGGACACCCTGGGAGTCAGCTTGAACTAGAACGAACAGGCCCTCACAGGGACTGACTGAACATCCCCTCATCTCCATCCTGTGGTCGGATGGGTCCCTAGCTGCCTGGCAGAAGCATGCCATATACTCTATAGAAGAAGATACCTTTAACTATGAACTATGGCTTCAAATAGCCTTTTTTTTTTTTTTTTTTTTTTTTTTTTTGAGGGTTTTTTTTTTTGGGGCCGGGC